ATTGGTAAACATAGATTGTGATGACACTGAAATTGTTCTGGTATCTGTCATGTGTACATAGTTGTTGGTACTCTTTATGTGTCATGTCACAAATGATGTGGGTGCAGAGTAAGAACAAAGCACGTCGCATACTGTTAATAGTTAGTATAAAATCTAATTTCCTACACATGTAGGATATACGTTATAAATCTTCTAATATTTACCTGTAATTCGTACGTTGGCAGGACTACTGACAATGACCTGTCGGCTGAGACGATGCATTGTCCTGCACCGGTAGGAAGGAAATTGGTCGCTGAACTCTAGATTGTGTATGAGCAGTTCTCCAGAGGGCAACTGATGGAACTTTCCGTCTGTAACATAGCCCCAAAACACCCGTTTACACATTTATAACCAGTAGCTACTCTAAATCTACGTGATTTATGCATGCGAGAGAAACAAACTGCGAACCTCGCACATATTCATATGAATGCCATTGCCACAACGGCCGGAACGATCCGCGAGGAAAAATCGAAATTACACGACCTCTAATTAAAAGAAAATTCAAACGGGAAATATATTTTTGCTTCAGCCACTTTCAAGTGTAATGCTCTTGCAAAAATACCACCACCGCGGTTAAAATTAATGAGGACTTTTTTGTACGTTTATAAAAAAACTATATATTATATAGTCAGTATATATGAAAGAGAAAAAAAAGTGCAACGAAAGGATTGGTGTGTGTTATTTTCTAAAATTAGTTGTAAATGAATAAATCAGTCATTTATTTTAATTATGTATAACATTAATTATTTATTTAACAATATTTATTGGCCGAATTACATTTCAGTATAGCCCTAAATTCGTGAATATTTGGTATTCTCTGTGCAGAATTGGGAGCCGAATATGAATACTTATTATTTTATACTGAAGTTCGTTGGCTGTACCGAGACAAAGTTTTGGCTAGATTCTTTGAGTTTCGCTACGAGGTGCGTGAGTTTCGTTTAGATCAAAATATGCCCGAATAACATGTCTCGATGATGATTACTGAATAGCCAAACTTGCATGGCTGATATATTCGAGCATCTGAATGAACTTAATAAAAAAATGCAAGGTCGGTATGAGTATATTTTTGCTCCGACAAATTACAGGGGTTCAAATCTAGATCATTGGCAGGAAGAGTTGCAAAAAGAATGTTTAGAAATGTACCAAAGGACTAACCATAGTACGCTTGAAAACAAGCAATTAATTGTGGATCTGCAACAACAACATTTAAGTATGTTTCTGCAGAAATTTGATCACTATTTTTATTTTATTAATACAGAACAATATGATTGGATTCGAAATCCTTTTGCAACCCGTGCAATAAAATCTACGGAAGAAGTGTCTCTGCAAATTCGAGAGGATTGTATAGAATTAAGTCACGACGGGACGTTAAAACTTCACTTTGTCGAAGTTCCATTAGATGTTTTTTGAATTTCCGTTAAGAAAGAATATCCTCGCATTCTCGAAACACCATCCCACCACTGCTTCCATTTTCGACCAAATATTCATGTGAGCAATGTCTTTTAATTAAAAATGATAAGCGGTCTTGCTTAAAAGGCCTTAATCAAGAACTTCGGGTTGCGCTGTCAAATATTGAGCCAAATATAAAACTTTTGTGTTCATTGAAACATGCGCAGGTATCACATTAATTAATCATTCATTTTAATCAATCATTTTATGTTTTTATGTATGTTGTTTTAATGAAAATTTATTGTGAAATTTGTGTATCAATTTAATAACTATATATTTTAACTTTTGGTGTGCCGCGGAATTCTAGGAACACCATTGGTGTGCCGTGACTGATATAAACCACAGATCGGCAAACTTGTAGTTTTTGATTATTAATTATTAATTAAGCATTCATTCTATTCATTCTGCGTACGGCTCTATTAATATTTGTTTTACAGATATAATCTTAAATAAGTATGAACCTATTTAAAAGGTTGCCGAGTCCTGAACTAGTTTTTATAATAGTTTGTTTGTTGTTTTAGTATGACTGTGACTACTTCAAATTGACTTGTGTATATAATTATATTGTAATTTTGTATTATAGGAAGTACACAAATGAAGAAAAATATTATAATATACTGATCAATGTTGTTTGATTTTATTTTTGAAATGTTTAGTTAGTTTATTATTCATCAATAATTGTTTGGAGATTGATGCTCTTAGTAGAGGAGGATTTATTTAGCATATTTGGAGCGTCTGTGCGAGCTAATTTGGTTAGTAAATTTTATGCTGTCATCATAAATAACACGCTGACAAGCAATTACGCGATATTATCTCTATTAATTATATTTATTAATAGAAGTTCCTCATACGCCTTGCTATTAATATATGGATTAATTAAACTATATGCATAATACCCATATAGTAATATTCAAATTTGATTAATATTCTTTGAATTCTTTCTACATTTATATATTAAAGAAATATATTTATGTAATCACATTTATTAAACAAAGTGGCCAGACGGACCTACGTGGATAGCCTTGGGCAAGATATATTTTCTTTTTAATCTAGTTTTTTTAATGGATAAATTATATTCGGTTAATTTATTATTTGTTTTCTTTATATTGGATTTTTACTCGTATAGTGTTTTCCCCATACAAACTAATGTAAAATACTATAATGCGTTCCATGCAGCAATAAAAGTATAACTTAGTCTCGATTTTTAATGATTTTGCTTTTCATATTTATGGTTATTTTTATTGTTTGGCTTTTTATTCGGAAACATACAGGTGTTATTCAATTTTTCACACAAAACATCACAATTAACAAGTCTGAACACAAATTTGGAAATACGTGTGATCACAAAAAATACTAAGAATCAAACTGTTTCCTATTCACAAACGGCGAAGAGAGTTTATATTTGTTTATATTACTTGTATCAAGCCGGGGTACTTGGTGGATTTCCCTTTATACTTTTAATATTTGTGAGGTGTTTGTTAAGCGAGGTTCCACTGTATAGAAATAAATATAAAATGTAAAGAAAATATTATTATTTTATATAATTATGTTTGTTTCCATTCTTGTTTTCTATAATATAAATAAGTTGCTATGTACTAGTAATAAAATTTCATATTTATCGAGTTACCCGGCGCACCCACCAATATAATATATCAGGAAAATACATAAAAACATTTATATTATCATAAATAATGAAAAATACTTAAATAATCAGAAGTATAATATATTATAAATTATTATTAATTAACAAACATATATTTCAGCTGTTCAAAAATAATAATTTTCTTGTCAATATGACTTAAAATATTAATAACTATAAACATTCAGTTAATAGTACAGTGGAACCTCGCTTTACAAATACCTCACTTAACGAGAAAATTAAATTTTAACAAAACTGACTCGCTTAACGATCGACATTTCGCATTACGAGTGACCTGTTACATCATTTTCAAAACTAGTATGCACATAATACGTGTATTTTTTGAAGATATTAAATATCTTCGATTTTTTTGTCATCTATGTTTATAGCGGATTATACTTATAAATATAATTTGTGTATGTTGTTAAAGCAAAACAAAAATGTATTGTGTCCAACCATTATTATAGAAAAGAATCAAACTATGTACGCTTTTTTATATAAAAAAATATATAAAAAGTATAAAGAGACCCAGGGTCATTAGAAGTAATATAAACAAATGGCGTAAACTCACTTTACCGTGTTTGAATGTGAAAACAGTTCTCTGGTGTTAGTAGTTATTCTAGTGAATCTTAGAGTTATTTGTGATCACACATAATTTTAAACTTATATTCGGACATGTTATTTGTGATTTGTGCAAAATTATAAAACACTTGCATGTCTCCGTATATGAATAGCAAAATCATTAAAAAGCGAGACCAAGTTATTTTTTTTTTCTCCGGCATGAAAAACATTATCGTATTTTACATTAGTTTATATAGGGAAAAAACTATATGAGTAAAAATCCGGAAATTCTGGTACGGATTATGCTCGTTAATCGAGGTTCCACTATATATATATGATATTTTGCAGTCATTTGTTAATTAAAGTTTGTAAAGAGATCTGCTTCTACATTCAATGTTTATTAAGGTAATTTACTTTAAACTATTATTTCGCTTAATTTCCAAATTAAACTTTTATAATGAAATAACGAAAGTTAAAATATATAATTAGATTAGTTTTTATAATCTTCTCGCAGTTTATATAATTTTTCATCATAAATAGTTAAAATCTTCTTTGAAGTGGTTTATTTATTTAGGTTTTGGATATTCTATTAAAAGTTATTTTACTTGGTGGACGAAGTATTCATTTTGTATATTATATTTTAGTTCAAGTCAGGCATATCTTATTTAAATTATTGTGGCCTTTCAGTTTAAATTGAAATATGTGCATAATCCATTATACGACTAGTAGTAGTTTTTTTTTTCAAGTAACTTCCAATAGTTCTATGTATACTGTAATAAAATTAATTAGATATAATAGGTAAAAAGTATTGGAAGCATCAAAAGAAGTTAGTCCAATAAAATATCAACAGAAACTGAATTTTAGAAGTCTGATGGGAAGATCGAAATATTTAATGTGTGGAAAAAGGGAATTTTGCTCAGCGACCGGTTGAACGAATTCCGAACTACTTTCTCGACCATGAAATGATCCAGCGGACCCAGCGACAAGGTTTTTAACTCAAAGGGTGAGGGCAAGGGCGAGGGCGTCGAGGTGTACCGGAACTCCCGAAATATATCTATATTATAAATAGCGACCGTTCCATTACTGGGCATCAATTAGATACGAACGTATGGGCAGCGAGCCCAAATTTTGACGCTGATTTTAATTGGGTTAAGTCATGAATGCGAAGCGAAACCAAACATATTTATATTCGCGATAAACAAGTTTTTGTTGTGCATTTGACAACAAACTCGAACAGCGTCGAATCGATATTTCATTTAGCTTGCAAAAGGGAATTTACATATCAGTGATTAATTTCGTTCCATTTCCTGGAAACCCCGTGAGATCCTGAATGCGAGCGGAAAAATTGTGCGGCCCAAAAAATATGAAATAAAAAGTTGCTAACAAAAAGCTTTTCGCTCGGTCTGTTTCAGCTCTGTTTATTTGTGTTCAATGTAATTTACGGAATCGCGTTGATTGTATATAAACCCGTACCCGTTCCTCTCGGCGGATGGGAGCAAAATCCGTGGTCGGAATTAAATAGAAAACTTTTCACGGCTCGAGAGCCCGAGAAAATTGTATTGAATTACATTACAACTGCTTGCAGAATACTATTTTCGAAAAATTGCGATTTCATATTCAACGGTTTATTTAAGTATTCAATATGTATATGAATATATAATACCACGCAATATCTATTTGAAATAGGTTTAAATTAATTAACATATTTCACAATAATGTTGTGACTTTAGGACGAATTATAAATATCACATTAAATTGAATTACCAATAAAGTAAGTTTAGGTTTATGAAATAGCTACTGAAATATTCATCAATTTTTTACAATCGCAATATCAAAATACGATAACTTAAATTCGATTCTAATAAATGAATATCTTGAAGCACCTTTATAAGCGCATAACATATCTGTAGGCATACTGTAAAAGGTTATGTAATAAACAACTAAATACATATTACTATAAGGTGTTTTATTCACATTCAACCCATGAAGTATTCATGTTTAAAAGTGTATGAAAAAATGAATTATTCAGATTATGAAACTTATATCAAAACAGAAATTGAAAAGATAAAATATATGAATCAAATAACTAATACACGAAAATTAAAAAATCCCAAGTAAATATCTATAGCTATATAGTAAGTAATAAATATTTTAAAGAGTAGAAGATTTCGAAATAGATTTAAACTTTTAATTTGACTTAATGTATTATGTAATTTATGATGCTCTATTAGAAGAAGACGAATATGCAGTAAAAAAAACTATAATTAGTATTTATTTGTTTTACAAAATCAATTGTTCCCGCTGTTAAAATATTAAAGAATACAATATTCTATTTTAAAAGTTTTTTTTTATTTCTCTTGGTTTTAAATGGTACATTTCTATAAGTATGGATCTGAATAAGTATGCTAGCTAATACTAGAAAGCTGCAGGAAATGAAATATTTTTTATAAAATCTATAATGTACGTATGTACGAGAAGAAATATGATTGAACTGTATCTATTTGAATGATAATATGCGAATGAAATGAGGGTGGATAGGCAAAAAAAAAATGTGTATCGTGAAATTTATTTTCTAGGCATGCATAATATATTTTCTCGAGTGAGTGTGTGGTTTTTGTAGACGTACCTCCTTGTAGCGAGGGATAAATATAGAAAGAGGGCTCTTGAACCCACGATATAATCCTGACCAGATCCTTCACAAATGCAGGAACAACGCATTTCAATACGGCCGTGCACCCGCGCGCAGCTCCCTGGACCTCCACGTCCACTTTGAATGCCTGCGTGACCACTGTAACAGAAATAATACATATATACATACATATATACGAGAAAAAGGACGAATTTCGCATGGACGAAAATTCCTGTCACGTTTGCCTTTTACATTTTGCGAAAATTATCGCGCGACGCATCCTTTTTCCGCGCGCTTGCACATTCATATTTAATTTTGCTAATTCTCACTTTGCTCTCCCTCTCTCTTCACCTCTTTTGCGCTCTCTTATTTACTTACTCTTACTTTCAGTCTATCTCTCTAAAGCTAAATCTCTTTCCAACATCCTCCACTTTCTCTTCTCCACTAATTATAATTTATTTGTCAATTAAATATGTACACATTCGGAAATTGCGCTGCAGCCATATTATTTAATTATTTTCACTCGGTGCATTTTAAAGAGACCTTTAATGCGAGCAGTTTACGTAACACTAACAAAAAACGCACATGAAAAGCGAAGAGGTCACAAATAGTTATATGATCTTCAAGATAGTTCGTAATTGGGTCTTTTGTTCGCAGACAGCCCGAGACCATAATAAAAACTGCAATGGAGTTTTTATTAAGTCCATAAAATTTTACAATTAAGAAAGCTGTCCACTTGTATTCTGTGCTGCAGCCCGTGCGTAAACTTTGCTGAATAGAAGACACGACCGCTTTGTAACTTGAATAAGCATTATAGTGATTTATTTGAAATTTACTTTACTTTCAACAGTTTGAAAACTACAAATTAAATTAAAGAAAGGCGTTACATCATTAAGAAAAAACAGTTAGAAAAGTCCATGTACACGCCTGATTAATAAATGATTATAGAAAAATGGTTAAATATCAGTATTTTTTAATGATAATTATATCCAGAGAGAATTTTTATGAAGATTCCAGAACTGAAATAGTGACATGCAATATATATATATATAAATATATTTACCAATAACTATTGATATATTTACTTTCATTTAATGTATATAGATTGATTACATATGAATTAATTAATTATAATAAAATGTTTTAATTCACAAAAATGAAAGTTTTTTACTTGCAAATATGATCGATTTATATTTGTGGGGTAATGATTTTGCGATAACTATGCAAGATGTCGGAAGAACTGAAATGCGGAAAAAGGGAGATAAATAGAAAGTTGACGCGCAATGGCTCATTAAATTTGTAATAAAACGATGCAGGATTCATCATTTTACGATTTGGTGTAAAAATGTTATGACCTTTAGTGTGTCGCATCTGGGGCTTCTTGCTCGCTTTTTCCAGTCGCGCCGAGCGTTGAAAAATGCTCAGAGATTGATTTAAAAACGGCAATGGGTAAATAGATCAAATGACATATATCAACATGGAATATTGTAAATGTAAAATTATATTAAGTCTCTAAATATATTTAATTATATAGTATAATGATATTTATTGAAATAAAATTAAACAAAAAGCGCTATTGACAAGTTTTTCTTCCCGTAATTAAATGTAATATATTTAAAACTTTAAAATATTTTTTTTAATCGGGTTAAAGAAGATTCTTGTTTTCGAGACCAAAATATATTGGGTAGTTATGTATCTTACATCAGCCAAGATCCAATATTGTAGTTTGAACATTTCATAATGTTGAAATCAGGTTATACGTTGTAGTTTTTCTTCTAGACATTCATTAGAGATATGTTGTTTATGGCTATTTCACTTCATAACTTATTTTCAGTTGTAGCATCACGTCTTGTACAATCAAGCCAAAATTTCCAATAAAGAACTACAATATAAAGGACTGAAGAAATTATGAAACTAGAAGATACTAATTTTAATATTAATATTGGGGCGACTCATAGCCGAATGGTTAAGTCGTGCTACCCACGATTTCGTGGTCGCCGGTTCGAATCCTGGTCAAGCCAGGCCCTTTGTGAGCCCCCTCGGTGCTTGCAGCAATGAATGAGGTTTAGCATATGGATCTTCAGCCAAGTCAATGGACAATGACAGTGTTAAGGATAACAGCATATTCAGTGAAAGGAAATAGTGGAATCGCAGAGCATCAATATACTACTGAAGTTAACCTACAAGACGACAGCCAACCTACAAATTAAAAAATCATCATAATGGTAACTATCGACCGTGATATTAAATTTACTCAATGTTCACATTGATGAACAGATTGTGAATAACATTATACGACATAAAAAATATTAGTGTTGAAGATCTACTAAATTCGATATATTGTACTTAATGTACAATTAATCGTACGAACGTACAATTATGTTGTTTGTACATCTGTAGTTTCAGTTAAGACTGAAATAAAATTAAAATATGTAGTCGCTTATAACATCTTAAGTGTAAGTCGTTCGTTCGAACGAAGCAAAATATAAATGTGATAGATAAATGCGTTGTTTGTCACTTTCAAACGTTAAAGATTATTCAGTTATATTAAAGTTGTCTACCCTTAATACTTATCACATATTAGGACTTGACAATAATTTGTTAAATTGTCAACGTTATAATAATACTAATGGACATAGTTAAAAAACTAGTAAATTATTTTATACGTTTATATTTTTTATTATTTTTGGAATATTAGTTTTATTTTTCGAATTGATTTTGTCAAATGGTCATAAGTAAATATGTACGTATTATAAAACGTAATTTGATTGAGCGTTGACTGTATTTACAAAATATTTTGTTACGAGTATTTTACTTGTATATACTGTAGAAACGTCTGATAAATAGCAAACAATTTTCATAAAATTGAGTAAAATTAAAATGTAATGTCTGTCGTGTCCTGCATTTAATATGTGCTTGCTATTTCATACGTCTTTTGATGGCAGTAAATTGTACAGTGGCGATGGCTGCTAAAAACTCTGTGCGGTTTTATTAAGACTTACTTGCGAATTTCAATGGTTCCGAGAGAAAGACGAAAGAGTTTAATTGGAATTTGTTTTTGCTTTGGGGCCGATTGTATGCTGCGGTAACGAAAGAAAGGGGTTGGCTGCAGTAAGTAACTGGAGATGGCAATTTTACAGTTTGCTAAAAGTTTTCTTGTGTAGTCGGCGCAGTGGCGGTGTTTTATGTATTAAGGAAATTGGTTTCTTTCGTTTGCGTTTAAGATGATTACGTCGGTGCAGACATTAACTATATATACACACATACATACTTACGTATATATGTGGATGTAGTATATAGAAACATGATATAAGGAAGAGAGGGTGTGTATATACGTATATAGTGGTTATACGTTGCCATTGAACTTACCGGCTCTGACTTGAACGTCCCTGCTAATAATCCTGCCGACGTTATTCGAGGCGACGCAACGATAGACAGTGCTGTGGATGTCTTGTCGATATGCGGCAGCCGCGAACGGAAGTAGCACTAAAGTCCCGTTCCTAAGGACCCTCCGGATCCCGGAAACGTCTCCGACGGAAGTCCCATCCACTGACAGCCAGTCTATTGACGGTTGCGGACTACCAGATGCCGAGCAATCCAACCATCCACCGCTGGAGTTGGAAAATTCCAGCCTCGTCGGCGGCTCCATGACAAACGCCGGCCCTCGCAGATGCGAATCAAAACCCTCTGCAACATCTGCAACAAAGAAAATAGTAAAATTAGCATTATGGACAATTATCTAAAAGTATTCATCACATTTATTTATTTTTTATTATAAAAAATCAAAATTTATAAAGATAAACTAAAACCTAAACTAAAATAAATAAATAAAATAAAATATTATTCTTTCTTTGTAAATAAAGAAATGGATTTCTAATATATTTCTGACATCCTCTGAAATTTTATGGACATATTAAATATTCATGTAGAGAACTGAGAAAATTTGGCTTATAACAAAACAGGAAGGAAACCTAATATATCGTATTCAATTATCTAGAATATGAAAAAGAAAACACAAAATTAATTACATAACATATTACATACATATTTATATATATTCGAGGCAATATATATTAGAGGCAATCCTCAAATAACTTGATAAATAATTGCACCAATCCTCTTATATCACTATCACGGTACTTCAATTAAGTACTTTGTATAATACCTCACTCTATAAGTCTCTATCAACAAATCCATATGATTTTTAAGAAGTATCGATATTCAGACAACGCGTGTCATGGTAATCTGACGTTTAGTTTACTCGTTATAACCACTGTAAGTTACAAATGGTAGAAAAGTGGTTTGCTGATTTTAAACGCGGTCGTACAGACAGAAATGATGCTGAACATGAACATTTGATCATGAGAGTATAATGCCGAAAGAGCTAAAGCTTACAGGGGCATTCAACCAAATAATCAATAATATGTAACCTATCCTATTTGTAATAAAGACACTGAATATTAATAATTTGATCATGAGAAAGCTCTGTTCGAAATGGGTACCGTGTTTACTCAAAGTGGACCAAAAATAACAATGAGTTGATGATTCCGAGCCCTGTTTAGAAGCGAAATAATAAGGATTTTTTTATGTGGTGTGTAATAATGGATGAAACCTGGATCCACCACTATAAACCAGAAAGAGATTTGGCTCCAATGAAGAAGTGATTTCCGAAACTGAAGCGTATTTTGAGACCAAAGATAAATAGTTCTACAAAAAAGGTATCGAAATGTTAGAGAAGCGTTGGAATTAATGTATCACTTTTTGAGGAGACTATGTTGATGAATAAAGTCGAATGTTGCCCAAAAGTTGTTGTTTTATTAGTCATCCTACGAACTTATTGAGTGATGTGTTACTTTTTTCACAATTATCGATAGCAGTACTTTTCGTCATTGGGAAAAATCTTATATAGTAAAAATAAAATATTGAACAGAATAACTATTTATCTGCAGTATCGAAAACACGGTTTTAGAAGTGTTATTCAAGTGTTGAGTGTATTTATTACTTAATATATTGTATATTTAAATAGGAACATAATTCTATATTGAAAATAGAAAATACATTTCGGATTAATTTCAAGTACGTCCAGTGTTTTTTAGTAATAGAAAACGTGTCTTGAATCGATATTAGTCTGACCCGACACCGGTTCTCCAGACCCATCACCACCACTGTCAGCTTCAAGTGTTTCCGATAAAAATCCTCATAGAATCTCTACTGAATCAGTTGAAAGCTTTAAGAAATTGTCATTGTTATAAATATAATAAATGTATGATAATCAAATTATCATAAGTGATTTTGAAAGAATACTTTAACAGAAATAAACTTTAATAATATTATTGATGGATTCTATTCTGTACAGGTTCTATTCTAATAATATTTATTCAAGCCAAAATGTAATGAAAATATTAATGATTGTTTTCAGTAAATCTGATTGACCATGTGTGGATTGACTATAAACTTCTTTGTGCTTGCAGTTTGCTTCGCATCGAAGAAATTCCCAATCAGCGCGTAATTAAGTTATACAAGACGAAACGATAAGTTCGGAGGGAATAATGAAAAAGTTTACCGGCATTCGCCGCTTTCCCATGTCATGCTGAGCCTCGTCGTCTGCACTTCTCTTTTTCTTTCTCGCATTCCCTTTCCTTTTGCTGGAAAGCAATTTCCTAGACAAAATGAATGCCGTGTAGTCGCAGTGGTGGTGGTAGTAGTAGTACTAGCAGTAGGCCGGTGTATATTTTTCCCCGTTTTAATAGTAAGGGTAAATCACCACCTTCCATTTACTGGGCCCCTCCACGCCCTCGTACTAATCACTCTAGAGCTTTCTCACAAAAGCCTCCAGTCTTTAAAATACACACGCCCGCCATTTTTCTTTGTCTCTTCCACCTTTCATCCTATAACACATACACACATACATACATATCCATACTACGGTATAAATGATATTACATATATGCGATGGGCACGTTCAAGATTGCATTAAAAAATTGTCGCCGTTGCTCGGATTATTTTATTATCGCGCACCGGAGACAATCGATTTTAAGCAGGTGTCGGGGGTGGCGAATTTACATATATGGGCTTAACCGGAAGCAGTTTGACGCGAAAAGGGCCGGACTCAATTTACATTCAATCCTTGGGCTAATTAAAGGTTTCTGCAAACACATCCACAGATTCATTTTAAGCAAATACTGTTGTGAACCTGCAGAAACACCATCGTTTAGTTTGATTCCAATTGTTATTCTACTCAAACTATTGCAATGTGAAGTTTACATAAAGTAGAGTTATGGATGTATGGTATCAATTACTTGTAAAACATATACTTTCATGGACACAATAAGTGGTTCTACTAATTTCCAATTTAATACCGTTTTTACATACTCGTAAGCAATATACTATCTACTGATATTCCACTCTAATGATCGGTATTTGTTTTCTAGGTCAGCCTTTATTGAAATGCACGTCTGAGTATTCTACTTAAGGTGATCTAGATAATTTTTTTTATATTATATTTTATAAGTCAGACTTATTATGGTCATGGATGCTTTATATCAATTAACTACATTTCATCGCGAAGAAGGAAGACCAAAAGTTTTGTTACTGTAAAGAAGATAACAGACAGAAGCAATCTATTTTCAGATTTATGGGAGTACCGGAGGATACAGAAGCTCAACAAAGAATGTAAACGACATTGTAGACCAATTAACAATATCAGGAACAAAGGCGGATTCAGAGAGACATGCGAGTTCAGAGGATAATCAACTTTGAAGAGTAATATAAGTACAGGTCCTGGATGTTGACGAAACAGGAGTAAGGTTTAAAAAAGCTATTTTGAATATTATATCTCTCAATTAAACTAAATAAAAAATAAAGTCAACTCAATTTTTGTAATTAATTCAAGATTTTTTTAACTGCCATTACTGGATTTGACTTCAATGATATGAATGAGATTAGAGGAAACCTCTCGCATAGGGGCCATGGGTGGAGTCGTGGTACTGTGGGATTCTTACCTCACTAAAACCTCTACCCTTCATCATCAGTATCTAAGTCCGGTGTTTTAACATGTCTCCGCAATGCAGATTGTCTGAGCAAGCTCTTCGCTTCTGCGTGTGTCACTTTCTTCCATCCGTTCATCATTTTCCTTCATAGAGAGCACCCCTTCTACGTATATTATGACGATGTCTCACTTTCATTGGCTCTTCAGCACCTCGCCAACGAACGTCTCTGGTTCCACGTTCTCCAAGATTTGCTTCTGCATGGTGCATCTGCAGCATCTAAAGAACGTGTGTTCTGGGATGTTATCTTCTTCGCAGAACCAGCGCTTTTCATCCTCGCTATAAAGTGGAATGTTGTCTCGCCGTGCTTTCTGGAAATCCAGGGTCTTAATTCTGGGATTAGGCGATGAGTCCAGGCTCCCTTCTCTGAACTATCCCATTTTTTCTGCCACCTTTTAGCAGTCTTGTCCTAGCAGTTTTCTTGTGTTCTTCAACCTGTGGTCCGCGGACTGTCGCCGGTCTACAGACATTTTCCACCGGACCACGTTTATTTTAGCTCTAATTTTTCGTGTAAAATTTATCTAGTTATTTATAATTTATTGTTAAGAAATTACAAACTGAATATATTCATTACAGTATATAATGTTTTTTATTTCTTTTTTAAACGTTTGCCGATCCGCGAATTATTTTTGATATTTTTGCCGGTTTTTCTTCTACATTGATTCATATATAATTGATTTCCAATTAACTATCACGGGTGATTACTTAGTAGGTACAGTTTTACATACAAACACTTATATATTGTATTATATCTCCAAACGCTTTAGATATTTTCTAATTGTTCTACATGATTTGAGCTTTTATTATCGATATTGTGTACTATTTTTTTTTTGTAGAATATATTTTTACTTTGCTCAATTAAAATAAAAATATAGTTTGTTTTCAAACTAGACTATAGTGAATCCGAACTGATCGAAGCCACCCACACACTATACGAGTCATTTCTGTACTCGTTTACAAAATTTCAAAATCATGAAACCATCAAAATATTCAATTCTAAATTGAATAGTACTAAATTAAATAATTATAATTAGCAACTGCACATTCGATGTAGGTTCGACATAAACAAACAAAACAATTTATTATTGTTTTGGTGCGTTTGTTCCATTTCATGCGAGTGAAAATTAGCGAACACTGAAATTGGTCTAGCGTAAAATTGTAAATACGCTTCGCAATTTTTCTCATGGTATTTTTTTTAATTCCACGCTCCGAAAATTATTTAAACAAAATTATGTTCACAAACGCTGTGACCTAAAAACTGAACGCTCGAATTTTATCCTATTGGAAATTCATCTTTGTTTCCATATTTGCTTTTATTTTAACAATTCGATAAAAAAAAAACACACACATGCACACACAATACATTGGTATTTAATTAAACGCACAATAACGGAAAATAAAATAGGATTTATAAAAACAAAATGCATATTCGGACTGAATTCAATAAATGAACGTTAGCAAAATATGGACGAGAATAATATTTGCGAATTCGATTTATTTCATTTTTATCTCTGCGAAATTATTTATTTGATGTATATGTTTTTTTTTTTCAATTTGTGCTAAATTTGCTATTAAAAAAATTAAAATGTATATTTTTTTGGTTTGATACAATACCATTGTTTTGTAGTAAATGATATAGATTTAAACTAT